ATTCTTTGCTGTATAATGGAAAGATTTTGCATACACATAAAGCCATGTCAAATAAAATTTGTCAAGTATTCAAGTATATAATAAATAGATTTTTTTAAGTATAATTTAAAATTTTCAAAACGCTCAAAATGATTGAGACTGAAACTTTTTTTCTCTAAATAAAATCTGTTAGGGGCTTACTTTTCTCTTTGGTTGGCCTTATCTATACCTACTTTAAAACTCCCAAATTATATTACACTAATTTTCTGCAAAACAACTGTATTTCTCAATACACAGTCCTTATACACAGTCAGGTTTAAATAGAACATATACCCATACCTAAAGTGTCCTTAAAGTTTTCCAAGGGACTGGAGGGGTGGCTCAGTGGTTAAGAGCACTGGCTGCTTTTGCAGAGGACTGAGGTTCAGTTCCTAGCACCCACATGGTGGTTAAAAACCATCTGTAACTCCAGTTTGAGAAGACCCAACATCCTCCTCTGGCCTCTGTGGGCACTGCACACATGTGGTACACTTATATACACGTAAACAAAACAGTCATATACATTTTAAAATTTTTATTAAGCTTTTAAATTTTCATACAATATTTTCCACTCACATCCAGGCCCCCTCCCCCAACCATGCTCCCCCTCAACGAACCCAATGCACTCTGCCATACTTGCTAAGTCCTATTGTATTCAAATGTCCTTCAGTGTAAATGTGTCCACTGGAGTCTAGTCAGCCCATCCAGTGGTCATATGTAAGTCATACTTTCCTCATCCAGCAGCAACCAGTCTCAAATAGTTCTCAATCTAGTGCTGATCTGACACCTATTTCTCATTTCCCCGCACATAAAATTTTTTTAATTTTAATTTTTTAAGATACCTTTTAAAAAAGAATTTTTTTCCAAAAAGGCCTTCTGCCCTTGAAAAATGTTTTCCAACACTGGGTTTCTTCAAGTAATCTTGCACTGAAGGACTGAAAATTTATTTCTCTTTGGGTCTGAGTAAACATTTTAAAGCTGGTCTCTCTCCTAGGCCCCTTATAAATGTGTCAGACATAAGAGAGATACTTCTTATACAAAGGCAAGAAGTAGATTTCTCTTCATATTTTTTAATTATGATATTTAATATGGTAGCCACTGGCTACAGCGAGCTAATGAATGACAGACATGTAATTATTTTGCATGAGGAACTGAATTTTTATATTTAAGTTTTGAAACTAACAATAGAAAATATTAAGGTATGTTTAGAATAGCTCGTAAGTCTACTTTTCCAATCATAAATCTTATATAATCTAAATTCAGGTCAAATTTTCCAGTGTAATTTGCCATCTGAATTAAAATACACTGGAAATGATAAAATATCATAAAATAAAAAAATAATAATTTTATGTTGATTATGAGTTGAAATTTTAATGTTTGTGTATATGGGCTAACAAAAATTCATTAAAGTTGATTTATCCTGTTTCATTTTACTTGTTTAATGTGGCTACCAACAAATTTGAAATTACACATATGGCTCACATTATATTTCTCTGTTTGAAAATAAAGGCTCCACTAAATCAGTTAGGCTCTACCAGTACTTCTTAGGCTTGACCAGGTTCATCTGCAGATTATCTGCCATTGCCATACTTCTTTCCCCAAGAATCTTGGAGACCTCAGAGTTTCCAGGATTCCCAGAGAAGAAAATGTGCTGGGCACACACACTAACCCTCATCAGCAGAGCAAACACTGGGCAGTTCCAGTTTCCCCTAAGTTCATACAGACCATGTATGAATCTCAAAACACGTATGAATCTCAAAATATTGAGCCATAAATAAATATATCAAGTTGTCCACTAGCTAACAGAAAGTCCCTTTCTCACTAGTCTAACTGATGCTAAGGAATTCAAAAATATCTTCTCATTAGGAAGAATGAAGCTTTACCTCAGCAAATGAAGTCAATTCAAATGTCACCAGAATAATCTTATTCTAGTCTCTTTATATTTGTAAAACTGAAACTGAAAATTTGCTTGCTATGCATTTATCATCAAAACAAATAGTGAAAAATAAGGAACCAAGTAGTGCTGGATAGTTTCTCCAATATTAGAACGTTAAGTTTTATTTCCTACTAATAACCTCAAGAGAAAAAAATGAGGATGGGGGTGCCTGAAAACGGACAATAAGAAATTTTTGCTGAACTGAATTCTTACTAGTACAACTCCTTGGGCTTTTATTCTCATTTAATCCTAGTGCTATGAAATAGACAACTTTTTAAATTACAGAAACTGTGGCTTAAAGGTTAAATATTATCTCCACGGTCACATAGGAACTGAGATAGGAACCTAGGTCTCTTCGACACATAACCTGAGCTTTTAGCCATTACTGCTCATCAAAGAACCAAAATAAACACAAAAATTCATTTCCTGTGATTATCAACCATCACTATCCTAACCTACCTCCAAATGGCCTTTCAGAATATAAGCATGTTAGCTTTATCCTAGCCCATGTAGAAGTTGGGTTAATGTAATATTGCTCTATTGCTTCTTGGCCTTTTGGCTAATATTGTATGTATTGCATTGTTATATTACTAAGAATGTGCTGAATGGTGGGCTGTGTGTGTCTATGCCTCCTTCTCATATTAGATGTTTCCCAAAAGCCACATCTCTCCCCAGTGTGAGCAGAGATCCAAAAGACAAGGAGTTCAAAATATATTGTTTGGCTGGGGAGGCCACACTTAAAGCTTGGGTCCTTCTAAAACCTAGTCCAGATATCTTTCCTCTTATGACACCTACCAGTATTAGAAACGTTGAAAAATCACTTATTTCTCAGTAGGTCAATGTATAAAAATGCATTCGGTGATTAGTCATGTCTAATTTCTATTGCATTAATAGTCAATGGAATTAAAAAGAAAGTCTAACTTTCATAATCACTGCCTCAAAGTGGCAGCATATGGTGAAGTCTTATGGAATGCTACTGTACCATGAAATTACCACAGTTTGGTAGCCTAACAAGATCTGCATAATGACTAAACCAGTTGACATGTCCAAGTGGATGGGGGGGAATGTCACCGGGTCCCACCTCAAGATGAAGAACTACAGGCAATCAATGGATGCTGGGGGAGGGAAATTCTAATCCCAAATGGACATCCCTAAACACAGACACACATGAGCACCACTAAATGGTATGTATATGTGCATTTATAAACATATGTATGAATATGTAACAATGATAAAGAAGAGGACAGGAAATTGAGAGATAGAATGGGGCATACCAGAGGAGCTGGCAGGGGACTTGGAGGGATAGAAATAATGCAAATACAATGCTCACATATAAAATTCTCAAAAATAAAAAATTTTAAATTCAAACAAAAAAAGGTAAGTAAAGCTACACATGAAAAAAAAAAGTTTCTGCACAGCAAAGGATACTATTCACCTAGCACGCAGCCCACAGAATGGGAGAAAATCTTTACCAGTTATGCACCAGACCAGGGGCTAATATCCAGAATTTACAAAGAACTGCAGAAATTAAATACCGAGGTAATAAAATTGCAATCAACAACTGGATCAAAATGAATAGACAGTTTTCCAAAACAGAAATACAAATGGCCAATAGCTATTTTTAAAAATGTTTAACATCCCCAGTCATCAGAGAAATGAAAATTAAAGCTACTTTCAGATACCACTTCACCCCAATGACTATCAGAAATCTGACAATAAATGTTGGAGAGGATCTGGAGAAATGGAAAACCTTATTTTTTATATTTACATAGTAACTTTATTTTTGTTACCCAATATCCCTTTTCTGATGATAATACCTCCATAATATAACATATGAAATATATGAACTTATATGAAACACATATGAACTTATGAAATAAAATGTGCAGTGACATATTTAGGGCTTAAGTTAACTTGAATTCTGTATTTGGGTATTTAGTAAAGAACATATTAAGTATATATATTAAAACAGAGATGTCTTAATGGTATTCCAGATTTATTTGAAAATGTGGAAGAGGTCATAAAGAAGATGCACACTGGCCTGATGTAACATTTCAAAGCCCAGGTTTAGACACAGTCAATACAAAAGCTCAATTTGAAAAATGAAAACATAGTAATATTGAACTTTTCAAAGTCCATTTTCCCCACCTTACAATTTCCTCTGGGTAACAGTTGTTAATACTGTTGATGTATTCTTGAAGGAGAGAACCAGGTTCTGCTTTTATCTCTTGGACCTTTTTAAGTCCACCACTCGTCACAAAAAGACGCCGAGCTTTGCTGTCATGTGGCAGCACCTTGGAAAGGAAAGTGGGTAAAGATGTTATTTTCTTTCTTAAGTTAGATTATTGCTACTGGAGAACAATAATGTATCTGAAATAATGTAGAAGGGAATGAATGTATCCTCAATGTGCCTATAACATAAGGCGGCAAACTTGTTAATGCTTGGAAGTAAAATGCACTCTTTTTCAAAGTGTATTCACTTTTTAGATTGTGGAACTGGCTAAGAAGATGAACATGAGCAAGTTAATGGATATCCACTCAAACGTAAACATGAGACCCATTTGAAGTCTTTCCAATATCTACAAAATAAAAGCAAGCCCCTTAACAAGGCAGAAAAGGTCCTTCCCACTCACCTCCTAAAAGCTCCAGCTTCCTTCCCCATCAGTTTCCATCCTAAACTTTCAGTAACATCAGAGCACGCTGTGACATTTGCTTACCTTTGCCCTTGCTGTTTCTTCTGCATAGAAGGCCTTTCCACATTACAGAAACCTCTCCATTTGCCTAGTTCATTGTTGCTCATTGTTTAAAACTCGGCTTTTTAAACAAGTCTTTAGGAAAAGACTAGCCAGGTGTAGCAGCACAGACCCATAACCCCAACAGGCCAAAGCCAGGGGATCATGATGTAGGAGGCCAGCCAAGGATACACACTGGCACCCTATTTCAAAACAGCAAGGTCTAGAAGAAAGAGTTCAGTGGTAGAGTGCTTGGTAACATGTGAAAGTCCTAGGTTTGGTCTAATAAAGAGAAAGAAAGACAGAGAGAAGCCTCTAAGGAAACATAAAATATGCCTGCAGCAAATAATCTCAGAGACAAATTTGTAAGAGTATATAATATGAGATACCATTTTGACCTTGTGTCTAACTTCCACACATCCTGCAGATTCTTTTATTTACTTATTTTGAACTCTTAACATGGGTTAGTGTTCTTTTTCACAGCCAGTTCAATAAAACCAGAATGTCTTTCTCATTAGCCTGAATGATTGAACTATGAGATGAGACTTTCAGAAATAATTTTCCAGAGCTGATAACTGTGGATGATCTACTCATCCCTTACTCCTCCTCCTCAGATGACCAGTCACTTCTAACTTAGCACTCAAATTACACAAAGGTGAAAAATGGATCAACTTTCCTTATGCAGTAATTTAGTCTTTTATCTGCATGATGTGGTTAGTTGGTTTGTCATATAACTAAGAGAAAAGGAAAGTGTCATTATTTTCTTGAAAAGAGGAAGACAGACCACAGATGTCTTGCTATATAGAGAGAACTTTATCCAGAGGTAGCTTCATCCACAGAAAATCTGTTTTCCAGTAGCGGTGGTTCTTGGGGGTTAGCTGAACTTCGAGAGCAGAGAATCCAGAGAACTGAAAGCTATTGATAGCCTGTCTTTCAGATGAGTGCCTTGCACGAGGCTGACTTAACCACAAAGTCTTCTTAAAAACTTAGAATGATGGAGGCATGGATGGGGGGAGGGATCTAAATGTGAGTGGGAAATGTTATATGAAATTTTAAAAGCTCAATTAAAAATATGGTTAAAAAAAACTTAGAATGATGGTACATACCTGCAACATCAGCATTTATGAGGCTGAGGCAAGAAGATCATGAGTTCTCAGCCGTTGTTCATTAATGCCTCATTTATGTGGTACTATAATGGACTATTTAAATGAATTTGTCCTCTACATTCATTAAACAAAATTTTTAATTAGCCTTAACCACTTGAATTATTTCTTGAAAACAATTTTTATTTGCTTTTGTTTTCATGTTTTAGTTATTTAATATGTGTCTTGGACTGAATTAAACTTTTATATACACTATCTCATTCAATATTTACTTATTTTGGGTCCTTTTGAGACAAGGTCTCCCTGTAGCCTCAGCTGACCTGGAACTCGCTATGTAGACCAGGCTGGCCTCAAATTCACAGAGATCCGCCGGCCTTGGCCTCCCAAGTGCTGGGATTAACGGTGTGGGCTACCACACCAGGCCTCATTCAATATTTACTTATTTTGGGTCCTTTTGAGACAAGGTCTCCCTGTAGCCTCAGCTGACCTGGAACTCGCTATGTAGACCAGGCTGGCCTCAAATTCACAGAGATCCGCCGGCCTTGGCCTCCCAAGTGCTGGGATTAAAGGTGTGGGCTACCACACCAGGCCTCATTCAATATTTATAATGATCCTATGAAATAAGTATTCATATGATTCCCATCTAACCAAACTAAGGCTTAGAGAGGTCAAGACTTTGCCAAAGAATTAGAACTATAGGTGGGGCTACAGCTCAGTGGTGGAGCATTTGCCTAGCATATGTGAGGCCCTGGATACCATGTCCAGCACCAAAAAGAGAGAGAAAAGGAGGAGGCGGGAAAGAGGAAGAGGAGGAAGAGAAGGAGAAGGAAGAGGAGAAAAAGGGGAGGAGGAACTACTTCTGATCCTACACCCCAAACCATTGTGGCTTGTGTCTTCTACAGAGAAAACAAATTCACCATCCGTGACTGTGTTGCCGTCAGTTTTGTCATGGTTTTAGCTTCAGTGTCAACTTGACAACCTAGAGTCATCTGGAAAGGGGGAACCTCAACTAAATAATTTCTCAGATCAGATTGGAATGTGGTCATGTCTGTGAGGCATTTTCTTAATTGCTAATTGATGTAGGAGGGATGGGTGGTGCCATCCCTGGGCAGGTGGGCCCAGGCTATATAGGAAAGGTAACAAGCATACCAGGAGAAGTAAGTCAGTAAGCAGCATTCCTCCATGGTCTCTGCTTCAGTTCCTGCCTCCAGGTTTCTGCCTTGAGCTCCTGCCCTGGCTTCCCCCGATGATGGATTAACTATAACCTGTAAGATGAAATAAACTCCCTCCTCCCCAAGTTGCTTTTTGTCATGGGCTTATCACAGCAACAGGAAAGCAAGCTAAGACAACTCTTTCAGCTGCACCACTTCTCGTCAGCTTCAACTTTCTACCTTACTGTCATCTACTGGCACTGAATCTGCAGTGAACTAAGAAATATGACAGCTAAATTTGTTGCAAATGAACATGCCCCAAACAATTGGGAGCTTCTCCAGTAAAGTGCATAGTTTCTGAAAAATATTCCAATGGCTCAAAGACCATTTTCTTTTTCTTTATAAAGATCTTTGCTGTTCCCCTAGATGAGAGGCTAAAAGACACTGGAAAAGATTACTGAAGGGTACTTATCGTAAATTATCTGTATTAGGAAGGCATTTGCTGTTCTAAATTTGTATTTTATTACTATTGTGTTCTGTGTGTATGACATATGTGAATGCAGTCATCTGTGGACCATGACACATATGTGGAAGTCAAAGGACAACTTTTCAGGAGTTGATTCTCTCCTTTTATCCTAGGTGCCAATGCTCTAATTCAGACCATTAGGCTCGCATGGCAAGTGCTTTTACCCACTGAGCCATCTCCCTGCCCCAATTGTGAGGCTTTTATGTATGAACATACTATTTACTTCCTGAGGAAAAAAATGTAAGTACAGAAGTTATGAAGAAAGTGTGGGGGAAAATAAGTGTTTTATTTATCTGTGGGTTTTATTAAACTGTGTATCTGTCAATACAGATTGGTAAGAGTTAAGAGTTAAATAGCGAAGCCCACAAACTCCCATCTTACAAAAGAAAAGAGATAAAAATCAAGTCAATGCATCACTTTCATCTTCTTCCCCTTCTCGCAGGCTATGAGAATTCTTACCTTACTGAACTGACCGATGACGTGTTTCAGAATATTGGGAGGTGCATCATACAGAAAGGGCTCCAGGGCTGGCAAGTAGGTGCATTTTTGAAGGATGTTCTTTATGGCTTTTTTACTCTGTTAGAATACAAAGCAAAATGCATACAAAAGTTTGACAATTCATCTCTTAGATTCCTGGATTTGAACATGAAGTCAGTTTCCTGATCTAACTTGCAGTTGTTTCATTTTTAAAATACAGTTGTTGGAAAACCTTTTTTTTTTTTTTTTTTTTTTGTTTAAAAAAGAAACATGCATTGCTTTTGTAATCAATCTATGGGGTGTTTTTTCAAAGAGCGAAAGGGTCAAATTCTTAGATTTCAGATTCAGGAGGCTCTTTCTGGGGGTCACCTGTCCCTGTGAGAACCAAGTTCACAAGGTAGACTGGTGGGGCACAAGCCTGAGCTCATGTGCCAGCAGGATCAGCTCAGCAATACATAAAACCCACACTACAGCACACGACAAAGGAAAGAACCCAATTCACAGACACCCCATTCTCCAGCACTCCAATTATGAACTGGCTCTACAGAGTCTCCAAGTTACTATCAAGGTCAGAGACAGGCTGGCCTTGAACTCACAGGGATCTACCTGCCTCTGCCTCCCAAGTGCTGGGATTAAAGGCATGTACCACCACGCTCAGCTTGGAAAAACTATTTTTGACTGATTTTTTTTCATAGAATATCCTGCCAGGTGACTTCATGTTAAATCTTAAAATATATAAAGAATTGTTAAACTTTTAAAATATCTATGAGGAAATTAAAATCATGAAACATAAAGTTATAGGCTGTAAATTAGCATGTATTATGTTATTATATAGACCATGTACAACTTAGTATAAAATTTGTAGAGATGAAGCAGGTGACTAAAATATGCTATTTCTTCTAATCAACCGCTATGAGGATGATATGGTACCATTTTCAGATATATCTGTAATCAGAAGCACCTACTGTGTGCGTTTTTCAATGAGTAGGACTGCTCATGAACAGAAATTTCCTCCTTCTCAAGTAGAAGCAAAACACAATCTATTCATCTGTCAAAGCTCCACTCAATACCAGGGAGTGTGTCACCCACAAGCAAAAGGACAGGCACCATGTGGACCTTCCCCACCTTCCCCCACATCCTCCCTTCTTTCCAGGTGACAGTGTGTACTGCTGCCCCTTAGAAACGTAACCGAAGGCCACAGCCAGTTCTGAGGCTGATGGGTATTTTTCTTTGTATGTCTCTAGTTGTTGTGGGAACTGCACATCTCATTATGTGGTAGTATGCACTTGTGCATCCTGGGAGACTGTTCAGCTCACATTTTCTTTTCCTGAGGCTTTGGCCAACTTGATCTTCTGTGTTACTGAATGCTTGGCAATGCTCTTGAGATGAAGGACCATTTTGATTTTCATACTGTGAGTTTTGCAAGTGGGTTCAGCAAAACTTTGATCATATTCATGATATTATTAAAAGACTTCTTGAATTCTAAGTTTTTTTAGGCACCCAGACTAAGTAGCCTTATATAACATCTTATCTCCTGACACATTTGACCTCAAATGTGACTTCATAGATTAAATAAGGTGTGAGTGTATGCTATGTTTTTGTGTGTGCTGTGTATTGGTCTATGGTATGTGTCAATGTGTGTGTGGTGTATGTATGCATGGTGTGTGTGGGTGTGTGTAGGTATGTGTGTATGATGTATTTGTGTGGGTGTGTGTGGGTGTGTGTAGCTATGTGTGTATGATGTATTTGTATAGTATGTATGTTTATGGTATGTGGGATGTGTGTATGAGTGTGTCTGTGTGTGTAGATGTGTGTGTGTGTGTCTGCACAAACATGTGGAGGCCAGAAATTGATGTCAGGTGTCTTCTGTCACTCTCACCTAACTCTTCTAATTGTACATTTTTTTTTGCAATTTCACATATGGGCAACTTGCATACTGACCACTCTCAACCTCCTACCTCTCTACCACCCTGTCCACCCTCCCCACTTCCCATAAACCTCTCTCACACATTCATGTCTATCCATTTTTTACGTGTGTGATCCACTGAGATTAACCAGGGCCATCTGTGTGAGCTTGGGTTCGGAGCTATCTCTTAGAGCCTGGTGGGTCAGTAGAGGGAACACAACTAAGGATAGCAATTCCCTATCCCCCAGGATCTATTGATAGCCAATACTTCAGATGTAAAGGGCAGTGCCTCAAGCCCTTACCTTCTTTGACTGATTATCCATAAGGCTGGACTCATGTGAGCCCAGTGCAGGTAATAACAGTCGATGAGTAGTTGTATGAGTCTAGGGAATTTAATAGGGTCTCTTGATGAACCTGGAGCTCACCAATTGGTGAGACTGGCTGGCCAACAAACCCCTGGAATCTTCCTGTTTCTGCCTTCCACCACTAGGATTATAGGTGACTTACATTGGGTGCTAGGGATCTGAATTCATGTCTTCATGCTTGTGCAGTAAGGACTCTACCCACTGACCCATTGCCCCACCACCATATATCTAATTCTGAACTTAAGGTGTTTAATAATTTTATAAAGATATAATTTTATCATAAATCCACTTATATTAACTGCACAATTCAATGATTTTCAGTAAATTTAGAAAATTCTATAAATGTGTATTTTCTGGGGACTGGAGAGGTGGCTCAGCAGTTAAAAGCACTGACTGCTCTTGCAAAAGACCCAGGTTTGGTTCCCAGCACCAACATGGTAGCTAACAGCCATCCATAACTCCAACTCCAAGGGATCTGATGCCCCCTTATGGCCTCGGTGGGCACTGCACAACATGAACACACTGTTCCAGTTTATTGCTACTATAAATAATGCTGTTATGAAAATTGGTACAAAGTCTAGGTGGAGACAAATGTTTTAATTTCTCTGGATACCTAGGACTGGAGTTGTTGGGAAATAATGCTAAATTTATGTTTAATACATTGAGAAACTGCCAGGCTAGTTTTCAAAATGACTGTAGCACTTATATTTCTCATCAGCAATGTAAGAGCATTCAAAGTTCTCCATATAGTGGTGAACATTTGTTGTCTGTCTTATTGTTAGATTCTCACGAACGTTAAATAATAATAACTCATTACATTTTTGCATAGCATTTCCCTAGTGACCAATGATATTGAACATCATTTCACGTGCTAATTGTATATTCTTATATCCACTTCGGCTAAATGTCTAGTCAATTTTCATGCATTGTTCAATTTATTTAAAATTTTATTTATTTATTTTTATCTTGTATGTATGAGTGTTTTGCCTGCATATAAGGCCGAAGAAGGCGTCAGATCCCCTGGAACTGGAGTTTCACACAGTTGTTAGCTAACATGTGGATGCTGGGAACTGAACCCCCTGGTCCTGCAAGAGCAGCCAGTGCTCTTCCACCCCCCAAAGGGGAAAAGAAATGGTTTATTCTTGAGCCAAATATGAGTGATCATGGAGCAGCAGCCAGTGCTCTTAACCATGGAGCTGTCTCTCCAGCCCTGATTGGGTAGACCTTTAAGCACTTCTTTTATATTTTGAATATGTCATTCCTTGAATATATAATTTATAACTTTTATCCATGTATGTATGACTTGCCTTATTTTCTTTTGTTCTTTTTTTGGTCTTTTTGAGACAGGGTCTCCCTGTAGCCCCAGCTGTCCTGCAACTCACTATGTAGACCAGGCTGACCTTCAGTTCACATAGATCCGCCTACTTGGGCCTCCTACGTGCTGGGATTAAAGGCATGTGCCACCACACCCAGCTGCCTTATTTTCTTAAAGTGTTTTTTTTTTAATAATAAAAGGTTTCATTGTGATGAGACCTAATTATCAGTTTTTCTCTTTCCCCACTTATGCTTCTTATGCTTTAGGTCTCTTATTTAAGAAATAATTCCCGTATCTGATAAATATTTACTAGTTTTTTTAAGAGTTTAATCTTCATTCTTACATTTAGATCTAGGAGCCATTTGAGTTAATTTTGGTGTTTGTGGTATAAGACAATCTAGTCTACAGTGTGCACTGCAGTCTCCAAACAGAACACAGTGAGCTCTGTATGGGGCAATATCAGCTCACACAGAGCAATATGAACTCTATCCAGGGCAATATGAATTCACCCCAGCAATATGAGATCTCTACAGGTTCTTAAAGCCTCTGTTAAGGCCACTGTAATCTTTTTAAATTTCTTGACTTCTTCACTTTGGTTTTAATGGGTATGGGTCTCTCGTGATTTTCCAACAGAGGACAGCAGAATGCACTATTTCCCAAAAATATTTAAGCAAAGAACCCCAATCCCAGGTATGTCTGCTGTTGTCTCTTAGGGTGTCCATTCTCTGGAAATCACATACAGGAAATCTCCATATAAATCAGCAACAGAAAGACAATGGGCTTATTCTCTATTGTATCAAAAGGCATAAGCTGGTGGCAGTTATAAGGAGAGAAATATTTAGAACTGTATGACAGGAATTTTATTAATTCTTCTGTGTGAGGACATTAAACAGAAATTCTTCAAAAGAAAGTTCTGAGACCCTGCAGAAGTTAGTTGATCAATGATCACATATTTCCTTTTTATTTTATTTTAGTATGAAAAGTAGCAGGTTTACTAACAGTATTTTCATACAGAGTACTTAACTGTCCCCCTTTCTTCTCCCCATCTCTTGCCCTCCATCCCCATTTAAAGCCCACCCCCAGTGCTCATATCAGTGAGTTCTATCCCCTCTGTACTTCTGTCCATGATAACCTCTTTTATTTCTTAACATGGGTGCCTTTCTAGTTTCCTAGCATGCACACCCCTATCAAAAAATATAGAAAAATTAGAAGCTAAGATCCAAAAATGAGAGAGAGTACACAGTGTTCATCTTTCTGGCTTGGATTACCTCCCTTAAAATATTTTCCAGTTTGACACATTTTCCTGAAAATTACATTTTGTGTATGCATAAAATATACACCACATTTTCGTTATCCACTCAGCTACTGATAGACATCTAGGTTGATTCTGTTTTTGCTATTATGAATACAGCAACACTAAACATGGGTGAGCAAGTATCTCTGAGAGGATATAAAGTTCTTTGGGGTATCTAGGAGTGATATAGCTGGGTCATTTGGTAGTTCTACTTTTAGGGGTGTGTATGTGTGTGTGTGTGTGTGTGTTGTGTATATGTTTCTGTATATGTTCACATGTACAGAGGGTACATGTACATGTGTGCATGTCTGTAGAGGCCGGAGGTTGATATCAGTGTCTTTATTGCTCTCCACCTTAATTTTCTGAGACAGCATCTCCCACCACTCACAGATTCAGCAAAACAAGCTGGCCAGCAAGTTCCATTTGCTTTGGCCTCCTCTCCAGTACTGGGTTGCAGGTACATGCTGCTATAGCTAGCTTTTATGTGGGTGCTGGGGATCCAAACTCAGGTCCGCACACTTGTGCAGCAATCACTGTACCAGTTAAGCCACCTCCCCAGTCCTTATTTTGTTATTTCTGTGAAGAACACTGTGGTGGTTATTATTAACTGTCAACTTGACAGAGTCTAGAACCACCTATGAGGCAAACCTCTGGACACCCCTATGAGGATTAACTAGATTAAGGTTAGGTCTGAGAATGTCTGTAAGGGATTTTCTTAGTTACATTAATTATGATGTGGGAAGAACCATCTTAATTGTGCATGTGTAGGGATCCTGGACTGCATTTTTATGCAGTGAGCCGAGCACTACCAAGCACATATTCGTCTCTCACTGTTCCCTGGCTGTACATTCGATGTGACCATCTGTTTCATTCTCCCATTCTCTTGACTTCCCTGACATGATGAACTGTACCTTAAACTGTTAGCTAAAATAAGTCCTCCTCCCTTAAGTTGCCTTTGACCAAATATTTTATAACAGCAACAAGAAAAGTAACTAATGCCTAAAGAACAAAAGGCATTGATGTCTTTATGGGAATTGCATTGAATTTGTGGATTTCTTTTGGTAAGATTGCCATTTTTCATAATATTGATTCTTCAAATCCATGAACAAAGAGAGGTCTTTCTACCTTCTAGTGTCTTCAGTTTCTATCTAGAATATTTTTAAATTTTTGTCATAGAGTTCTTTCACTTCCTTAGGTTTATTCCAAGGTATTTTGTGGCTATTGTAAATGGGATTGTTTCTCTGATTTCTACCACAGAGATTGTTATTCTTAGATAGTAAAGCTGTTGTTTATGTTAATTTTGTATCCTGCCACTCTATTTAAAGTACTTATCAGTTCCACGAGTTTTCTGGTAGACTCTTCAGAGTCTTTTCTGTACAGAATCATACCATCTAGAAACAGAGATCTTTTGACTTCTTCCCTCTCTATATGAATCCCTTTTGTTTTCTTCTATTTTATTATTCTAGCTAGAACTTCCAGAACAAAATTTAATAAGAATGTAGAAAGTAGATGCCCTTTTCTTGTTCTTGATTTATTGGAATTTTCGGTTCTTCTCCAGTCTATATAATGTTGACTATAGGTGTGTCATATATAGCCTTTATTATGGTGAAATGTTTCTCCTAGCTCCAATTTCTTCATAACTTTTATCATGAAAGGAGGTTGGACTTTGTCTAAAGTGTTTCTGCACCTATCAAAAGGATTGTGTGACCTCTGTCCTTGAGCCCATTTATGTAATATATTACATTTATTGATTTGCTTTTGTTGAACAAACATGTTTCTCTGAAATAAATCCACTTAATCATGATTAATGATCTTTTGATGTGTTCTTGAATTCAGTTTTCAAGCATTTTGTTAAGAATTTTGCATCTATGTCCATCAGTGAGACTGATCAATAATTGTAGATTTTGGAGTATGTCTTTATCTAGTTTTGGTTTCAGATAATGCTGACTTCATAAAAAAAGAGTTTGGTAGTGTTCCTTCCTTGTTTCTTTTACTGAACAGTTTGAGAACTAATGGGGCTGGTTCTTGAAAGTCTAGTGGAATTCACCAGTGATTCTATCTTGGCCTAGACATTTTTTGTTTTTGTTTTTGATGGGTTCTTTGTTTGTTTGCTTGCTTGTTTGTTTAAGACAGAGTCTCTCTTGTAGCCTCTGCTGGTCTGGAACTCACTATGTAGACCAGGCTGGCCTCAATCTCACAGAGATCTGCCTGCCTCTGCCTCCCAAGTGCTGGATTTAAAGGCATGCAGCCACCATACCTGACCAGTCTAGACATTCTTAGTCTGAAAATTTTCGTTATTGTTGCTTGTTATAGATCTGTTTAAATTGTTTATCACATCTTGGTTTAATTTTTGGTAGATCACATGCATCTAGAAATTCATTCATTTCTTTTATACTTTCGCATTTAACCAAGAATATGTTTTTTTAATCTTGCTTATCTTTTTTAAAGAAACAACTGTTGGCTAGACATGGTGGCACATGCCTTTAATCCCAGCATTCAGGAGATAGTCAACACGGATTTCTGTGAGTTCGAGTCCAGTCAAGGATACAGAGTGAGACCCTTCTCAAAACCAACCAAACAAAAAACTCTTAGTGGAACAGATTTTTTTAAAACATGTCCTTATGATTTTCTGAATTCCATTGGTATCTATTGTAATATCTCCCTTTTCATTTCTAAATTTATTAATTTGGTGCTTCTCCATTTCTTTTGGTTAGATTGGCTAAGAGTTTGTCAATCTTGTTTATCTTTTCAAAGAATCAGTCCCCTGAACTAAGTAAGGGACCCCAGCTACCCTGTTTAGGCTCATCTGTGCCTCCTTGGAACTTCCTGCAGCAGAGGAAAACCACATCTCAACCCTACTGTCCCAGTTTGCTTTTCTGTTGCTATGATAAACACCATGACCAAAAGCAACTTGGGGAAGAAAGGGTTTATTTCACCTTACACCTACTGTGCATCATCAAGGGACACCAAGGCAGGAACTCCAGGCAGGAGCTTGAGGCAGAAACCATGGAGGAACACTGCTTACAGGCTTGCTTCCTCATGGCTTGCTCAGCTACCCTTCTAACACAACCCAGGCCTACCTGCCCAAGGGATGGTGCCACCCACACTGAACTGGCCCTCTTACATCAAATAATAATCAAGAAAATGCCTGATAGATATGCCCCCAAGCCAATCTAATGAAGAAATTTCCTCAATTGAGATTCCCTCCTCTCAGATATGTCTAGGTCTGTGTCAAGTTGACACTAACTATGACATCTACTAAGATTTACTCATCTCCTGAACATTGTAAAGGTCAGCACTGGAGGGGGGAAAAAGGCAATCTGAATAAAAGAAATGAAGGAAGGGAGGGAAGGAGGAAGGGAGGGAGGGAGGAAAAAACTAAAACAACAACCACTCCAAGTGTGCAAGTCCAAGAGCAGAAACAAGAACAATGCAAAAAACAAGACAACAGAGCTCATACTTTGATCACTAATCCTAGAATAATGGCCCCTAATGAAACATGGAAGAACTCTCAAAGAATTTATTTTATTTTATTATTTTTATTTTATGTGTATGCGTGTATTGCCTGCATGTAGGTAAATGCACCCATGGAAGAGGCTGTCAGATCCCCTGGAACTGGAGTTACGAACAGTTGTTAGCTGCCATGTGGGTGCTGAGATTCGAATCTGGGTCTTCTGCAAGAACAACCAGTGTTCTTAACCACTGAGCCATCTCTCCAGCCCCAAAGAATTTATTTTTATTGCATGTGTATGCATGTATTGCCTGCATGTATGCAAGTGCACCCGTGTTGTGCAATGTCCAGGGAAGACAGAGAGGCCATCCCTGAAACTGGAGTTATAGGCAGTCGTTAGCTGCCATGTGGGTGCTGGGATTCGAACCTGGGTCTTGTGCAAGAACAGCCAATGTTCTTAACTTCTTAACCATCTCTCCAGTCCTCCAGACAAAGAATTTTTAATGACTATAAGCATGTTCAGGCTCTACAGCGATGGATCAGCGGTTAAGAACACTGAATGCTCTTGGAGAGGACCCAGTTTTGAGCCCAGCACCCACATGGCAGCTAACAACTGTCTGTAACTCCAGCTCCAGGGACTCCAATGCCTTTTTCTGACCTCCACGGGAACTGCATGACATGGGTGCACTTACACACATGCAGATAATACATTCATACACATAAAATAAAAATAATAAAATATTTTTAAAACTAAGTATGCTCAGACAACTCAGAGAAGACACAAATATATTCCAAGAGAACAAAACCAAAAAACTGAATGAAATAAGGAAGTGAATACAAGATATGAAAACAGAATTCAACAAAGAGATGGAATTACTGCAGAAAAACCAAACTGAAATGATGGTAGAAATTAAAAACTCAATAAAGCACATAAAAAACACAATGGAAAGCCTCATCGCTAGAATGAAACCTAGAACACAGAGAATCAGGGCTATAAGGCAAGGTAGAGGAATTGGATCACTCAGTAAAGGTCAATAATAATTTTTTTAATACATGAACTAATATGAGAGACTTCTGGAATACCAAGAAAAGACCTAACTTTCAGACCATGTACATAGAACAAGAAGAATATCATACCAAAGGTGTAGTGGTCATGAATTAAGACTTTTTATCATGGATTCATAGATTTTCCTTCTCCTTCATTTATGACAGATAGCTCTTCTGAGTATAGCAGTCTGAATTAGAAGTTGTTGTCTTTCAGAACATAGAAAATGTCATTCTAACCCCTCATGGCTTTTAAAGTTTCTGTTGAAAAATCTGCTGTTATTCTGTCTTTATCCATGACTTGGTGTTTCTCTCTTGCCACTTTCAATGTAATTTTTTGTTCTATATACCTAGTGATTTGCTTATGACAACAGGCATTTCCTTCTCTGCTATAATTTCATTAAAACTGTTAGAATACAGTTTTTCACCCTCTTTTATGCCTACAATCATTAGATTTGGTCTTTTTCCACTGCCCTGAATTAGTTACAGCTAACAAATCTAAAACCTTTGAGATTAAACACTTACTTTCACCTGCAGATCCTCAGAGCTCTCTGCTGACATATACAAAGAAAGCAGAACTGGCAATGCGTTTGTGACAGCTACAGCCCGCGCGTGTTCTGGAGTGTGTCTCCCAATCTGTCCTAAGGCCCAAGCAGCAGCAGCCTTTATGTGATCTTCTGGCTCTTCTGACAAGCAGACTGACAATTGGGGTACACCCTGCAGTGGGGATCCAAAGAGCAAGAGTTATCAATCAAGAGTGAGTTCAAGAGTCTTCCCTGTCTCTCAGACATCAGAAAAAAGTCCACATATTTTATGAGCACTTGCTGTGGTCCCAGGCTGCACTACATGGTGGGTTCATACAAAATTGTAGATTGATATAAGGCAAAAATGCCTAGAGCAAAAAAAAAAAAAAATCCTGCTATCTGCTTTGTGTTCTGATCCCTTGTATCTGAAAAGGTAAATTGTTTATTAGTTTGATCTCCTTATTCAAGTGACAGGACTGCACAGACCTCTCAGAAGAGAGAAGGTGACTACTGGACAAGTTATTTCTACTGTTTTTAAAACATATTTTATTTCCTATTTTTATTTTATAGGTATGCGTGTATTGCCAGCATGCATGTAAGTGTACCCGTGTAGTGCAATGCCCGTGGAGGTCAGAAGAGAGTGTCAGATTTCCCTGGAACTGGGAAATTGTAGATGGTTGTTAGCCACCATGTGGTGTTGGGAATTGAATCCATGTCCTCAGCAAGAACAGCCAGTGCTCTTAACCATTGAGCCATCTCTCCAGCCCCTATTTCTATGGTATTTAATCACAGTGTGCTTTGCATGTTGGCAAAGATATACAATTCATCCTTCAAGAGATACATATTCCTAAGAGTTATATTACAGATAACAGATACTTAAAAGAGGTAATGACTGTCCATATTAGGCACTGAGTAAAACTACATTTTCTGTAACCTAAACATTTCTTCAAGGATCACTCTGGAAAACATACTAGCAAGCACTGAAATAAGCAGTAAAACAACTGAAAAAAAAAAAAAAAAACCACTGTTGGGGTTTTTTTTTGTTTTTGCTCTGACCAGTTGTATTTTCTCTTCTGATGGAGAATATCAACCATGGTTCTATCTTAGAATACCCTACTGCAATCACTAGGAAAAATAAAACAAGCACGCACCTTGGAAATGATCACTGCCATGGCCAGGTTCTCAGAATGAGCACCCACGTAACCCAGCATCATGATGCCAGGCAACCGTATGTTCCCTTTGCAGGACCCAATACAATCAATCACTGCAGCCACACCTCCTGTGTTAACAATCAGCTGTGAAAGCTGAGAGAGAGAGAAAAAAGGAGGCCAGAAGACTAGTTTTAAATGTGCCTTCAACGTACTTTAGTTAGGACTTAAAAGCAACTGGTAAAATTGAAATACTATTTAGAGAAATTATTGTATTAAGGAAAAATTCAGGTATAATAATCTTGGGTTTCAAATGTACAGATATACTCATCGCAAGAAACTTTATTCTGTGGTTCATTTTTTTCTGCATCAATGGCACAAGTTTTATCCCTAGTTATAATGGATGTCAAAATTCCTCAGCTAAAAGCTAAGTTTAGGGCTAATTCATGCCTAGTAAATATTGAAATGCCCAATCACAGAATCTAAGCATAAAGATCAATCACTGAAAGTTCAAAAACAATGTCAGCCTTCAAACAGTCTAACCTAATTGCCTCCTTTTACAAGCAACGATTACTGGCTGGAGATACCTCAATTTTGGAAAATCTCATTCAAATGAGATTAGGTGAAATAAAGCATGAGAGCTTTGATGTGGAATGGAATGAGAACTCATTAGGCAAAATATGCACAGAAAAAGGATGCAACTTCAGATAACTCCAACACGGGCTTGCTTTGTATCCATCTCTTATACCTTCAGCAGGATATCATATGTAAAAACAGCTATTGGCGTACTGGCACTATGCCAGTCATGGTCCCCATCAACCTAGAGATGCAATATATTATTTTCATGGCTCCCAGCTGGCCTAAAATGATTGAGATGGCAGATCTCCACAGTCCCTACAACCTAGAAATGGAAAGCTAAATGCGATTAGAACTTGGATTTCAAACTCAAACTACGTTAATACAATTCAGTTGTTCTCAACTCTGGGAAATTTTGCACACTACAGAATACTTGGCAATGTATGAAGAGGTTTTGGTATTGTCACAACTTGAGGAAGGGGAATTGCACTTATCTAGTGGACAGAGGCCAGGAATACTGGTGTTCACTATGTATGATTGCATCTTGAAGCTTATTTCTCATTTGTTTGGTTTTTACCTCAGGCGTATGTTTTGCAATCTCTCTAATTAAAGTACAAGCATTTTTCTTCACATATTCATCTTTGTTCTTCAGACAGGTAAGCACAACTGGGAAAATATCTGCTTCAATGACCATCTCTGCCAGATCCACAGAATGTTTTGCAATCTGACTGAGGGCTGACAGGATCTGACTCTGTCAAGCAAAAAATAACATGAGACATGTAGAGTCCACTCGCTCACCTCAGAGTTCAAATGTCATTTAAACAGTTTCCATAGTATTCAACTTCCTTTAATTAAAAAGAAAGACAGAAAGGAAGAAAGGAAGGAAGGAAGAAAGGAAGAAGGAAGGAAGGAAGGAAGGAAGGAGAAAGAAAGAAAGAAAGAAAGAAAGAAAGAAAGAAAGAAAGAAAGAAAGAAAGAGGGAGGAAGGGAGGGAGCGAGGGAGGGAGAGAGAGAGAAAGAGAGAGAGAGGGATGGAGGGAGGGAGGGAGGAAAGAAGGAAGGAAGGAAGGAAGGAAGGAAGGAAGGAAGGAAGGAAGGAAGGATCCTACATATCTAGCACAGACTTTCACGTTCTAGTCACACACTCCAGTTTTTTAATTCTCTAATTACTCCATTAGTTCTCTACAAATAACTAAGGAACATGGCCCTTGGATGAATACCACTTCTTAATCACACAATACTTGGGTTGCTAATTTATGATATATGTGCTCTTTAATATAATAATAATTAAGCAGAAATAATATATTTAGTATGATGTTGGTACCATTTCAAAGAACTTTCCATTGCTTAGCTAACATTAACAATTTTAAAACTTTATACAACTGACTTGCAACCACTTCCCCTGAAGGCTAGCTCTCATAGCTTTGGAGAGAGAGTGCTATGAAGATGCCAAGGGAAAATATCAATGAATGATCCAACAACAGCTTCAAGACCAAATAACCACATCAGTGGCCAGCACAGCATATGTCATTGGTACAGTAGTGGCACTCTTATCTTGGGGGCAAGCAACAGCTACCTAATTTGACTATATGCCTACTCAAATGGAGGAAACTCAAGTGTGGTAATTTAAACAATACACATGGCTGGAGTCACCATAGATCTTAGAGAAAAACACCAAGACTGTCACATTGCTAGACTAATGTGATTTCTTGCTATGTGAAAAATATGTATCCTTATATTTACAGACAAATATCCCAGTCACCACTCATCAAAGAAGCTCATTTCGCACCAGTCAGGCTATTACCAAGTACCACAACTGGTCACACACGGATATTGTCTATGAATTGCCCAGTCCTAAGGGACACATCTACAATGCAACCTCTATTCCTAAGACTCATGGAACATAGAAGAGGGATAAGATGAGAACACTAAATGAATCTCTCGGGCCTCAATAATGAAGCTTCCTCATGCAGCGAAGGGCCAGGAACACAAAAGGTTACAAATAGTAGTCGAAGTGTAGAGAGCAAGAGTCTGCTGAATGCTGGTCCTTGACAGGATCCCTTTATTAAACTTCTCCCACCCAAGGCTCAGGGACCATCACAGAAGAGGGGGCAAAAAGGTTGTAAGACCCAGAGAAGAAGTGCATGACCATATGGAAACAGAGTCCTACAAGCTCCTGGGAACCTGCTCATATGATTCTATGGCAATGGTGTCAGCATACATAGGTCCCATGAAAACCCAGGCAGACAATAACCCAGCACAGAACTGGGAAAATGAACAATAGACCTCAATCTTATCTAAAGGAATGTTGGCAACTGATTGCTGCTGGATGAAGAAGAGCTGATCTTCCTAAAACAAGGGACTCTAGAGAGGCTGACAAGACTTAGCGGGTGGACTTGCACTGGGGAATGGCTGGGGATACTGAAAACCCAGTGGGCCTTGAAAAGGATGACCAAGTATATGGGCTCCAGTAGGGGGGGGGACTGTGGGAGGGTGCCAGTGGGGATGGGGGCATAAAAAATGATTAAGAGTTTTTGAGCCGTTCTGTATGAAATACACAAAAATAATAATTTTTTTAAAAAAACATCATTGGTGGTTTTAGAAAGCTATAAGAGGACTAATATACATTTAGCAATTTTCAGAAGAAATTTAAATATTTTAGTGGTGGGCTGGAAAACCTTTGGGTCCTTTGCAGTCCTAAGACTGACTATTTTAAGTATCAAAATAACATCACCTCTACTTTTCAGCATTGCATGGTCCTCCCAATCACATCTTAATTGTATCACCCTTATAGCATTATTTCACATATTAAAAGACAAAATACATAATCTTTTTGTACCTGCTTTTAACATTATCTACTAATTATTATACTACATAGCATCTATCTGTACACATTTTCATTTTCTTGGATTGTAAAACGACTGGCTTATCTGTCTCTTGACCTCGTTTTTAAATACCTTCAATTTCCCATCAGGGTTGAGGATCATCTGGGCTAAGTGAGCGATGGCCCCTGCATCCACTACTGTCTGTGCTAATTCTGGAGAATGTTTTGAAATATCACTGAGGGCCAAGGCAGCAATCCTTTTCAAAGCAATTTCTGGTTCCTGGATGCACAGCACTAAGAGAGGGATAGCTCCAGCATCCACCACAGCTTGAGACAGTTCTGTGGGTCCAAGCAAAACAACTGACTGAGTTTGGGTGACTGACCAGTGGGTAAGCCATTTTTCACACAGACAGATACAGTAAAAAAAAGAAGTGGGGGGGGAGCTGCTTCACTCTCTTGACACCTGCATTTCAAACCAAATTTCATGCTTTCATAAACCACATGAACCAATCCTGAGCTGAAAAGAACAGTCAATAGATGGGCCTTCATTTAAATGAACACATTTGAGGTATGTTAGGCTAAAATAACTTTTTATTCTTTTTATTTTAAGAGCTCAAGTAGATGTCAGATGTTTATGCTCTAACAATTCTGCACTTTTCAATAGGCAAGGATTTTATTCATGGTTTACAATAACAGAGAAAATTTGAATACCGAAAATTTACCAACCTCACTAATTAGGACATAATTTGTGCTATGTGAGTAAACAACATGAATCTTGTGTCAATAATGTCAATTTTTAAATTCGACTCATCTTGTAATACTTTAAAACATTTTAAAATACTTTATACAAAATAAGAAAGCTATGTTTTCATTGAACATTGAAAACACATTTTAAAATTAAGGTTATGTCCCATGGAAGCCCAAACCAGACAAAATCTCAGCATAAACTTAGGGAAATGGGTAAGCAAACCAACCCAACCTAAAGAAATTTTAGCAACTGATGGCTATTGGGAGAGAGAGAGACAGTTTTGTTCAAGGATGGAACTCTTGGTAGGTTAACCAGGCTCCAGTGGATGGACCCACACTGAAGGATATTTGGGGACACAAATTAGATTCTATATATTATATATTTTTACCTATCTAGATATATGAAAGAGTACATTACATTGGGGGGTTTGGGGGGCAGTGAGAAAATGTGGGAATAGGGGAGCTGAATCAAATACCATCAAAGTAAATTGCATGAAAGGTTATAAAATTCAATAAAAAAGAAAAATATTAAAAATATATTTCTTAGTACTATGTATTAGTCACTTTTCTGTTGCTGTGATAGAAACATTGACCCAAGCAACTTATAGAAACAAGAGTTTATTTGAGTTCCAAGGGAATGATAGTCCATCATATCAGGGAGGCATGGTGGCTGGAGGTGGCTGGACCAGGAGCAGCAGAAGCTAAGCTCTCACATCATCATGCAGGCACAGGAAGCAAGAGACCGACTGGAGATTTGGCAAGGCTTAATAACTCTGTAAGCCCTCACCAGCTTCCTCCAGGATAGCCACACCTTCTAAGACCTCCCAAAACAGTGCCATCATCTGGGGACAAAATGCCCAAATACTTGGAGCCTATAGGGGACATTTTCATTTAAACCATCACATTCCACCCCCTGGGCCCATAGGCTCATGACCATATAAAATGCATTTAGCCCAACTTTAAAAGTCCCCATAGTCATTATCAGTTTCAATATTATTCAAAAGTCCATAGTCCAGAGTCTCTTCTGAGACTCAGGCAAATATCTTAACTGTAAGCCTCTATAAAATCAAAAGACAAATTACATACTCCCAACATACAGTGAAACCAAATACACATTACCATTCCAAAAGGGAGGAATGGAGGCATAATGAGCAAATACCATAATGAGCAAGACCGAAAGCCAGCCGGGCAAACACCAAATCCAGGAGCTCCACGTTCAACTTCTGGGACTTTACTTCCAAAGGGCTTAGATGGCTCAGCCTCTCTAGCTTTGCTGCATGCAACACATATCTCTCTCTTGTGCTGGTACAATGCCCTGTATGCAGGTCTTCTTGGCAGATGCCACACAGCTCTGGCATCACAGACCTCTTCTTGGGGTCTCCATTGCCAACCAGGCTTCACCTTCACAGCTTCATACAATGGCCTATCAGGGCCTTCTCTAGGCAGGGGAATCCCCTGCTGCACGCTACCTGGCCTCAGTGGCTCTCTGAAACCATGGAAGAACGTATGACCCCTTCACTCTTGCATCTTTATGCCTTTAAAGCCAGCCCCAGGTGAACAACAATGCCAAGTTTGACTGCAATTTTGGGATGGACTCCAGCCTGCTTTATCCATTTTAAAAGCTTTTCTCTTCAGTGGTCCCTGCAGCATTTTCCTTTCACAAGTTGGAGGCTTAACTAGGTGTGGTCTTGCCCTGGAGGTACTCTCTCCATTGTTTAAGTTTGAATCTCTAGGTCCCTCCATAATCACTTTAATCTCCTTAATCACTTTAATCTCCTTATCAATGGGATCCTCTTCATCACATGCCATGGCTCCAATATTAATCTTCCTAGTGCTCTTTTTCAATCCATCCTATACATTCTGTATTTCTTTCTGCCCCATTTGCTCTTTTTCACTGTAAATCTGTATAATATTCACCATTAACAGCCACACCACCATTTCTATGTTACACTGTCTTGAAATTTCCTCTGCCAGAGAAATTAGTCCATGGCTTTTCAACTTAGCCTCAGGCAAGGTTTTTGGCTGTGGGCAGACTCCAGCCATACTCTTTGCCAAAATACCCCAAATACTGCTTATGTCCTTATTTCCCTCTGGAACTACATTATTCTCAGTACTGCTTTCTTCCAGGTGTTTACTAGAATGGCCTGTTAAGCTCTGCTTACAGCAATCAACCACTTTTCTAGCCCAACCTTCCAAAGTCTTCTACAGTCTTCCAAAACCCCACATGGTCAGGTTCTTCACAGCCAACAGCCCACTATCTGGTACCAGTTACTGTATTAGTCACTTTTCTTTTGTGATAGAAACACTGACCTAAGCAATTTATAGAAGGAAGAGTTTATTTGAGCTTACGGTTCAGGGGAATTACAGTCTGTCATGGCAGGGAGGCATGGTGGCTGGAGGTGGCTGGAGCAGGAGCAGCAGAAGCTAAGCTCTCACATCATCATGCAGGTACAGGAAGCAAGAGAGCAACTGGAGATCTGGCAAGTCTTAAGAACTCTCTAAGCCCACCCCAGTGACATGCTTCCTCCAGGATAGCCACACCTTCTAAAACCAACAACCACCATCGCCACCATCTGGGGACAAAATATCCAAATACTTGGAGCCTATGGGGGACATTTTCATTCAAACCATCACAGATATATAAATGTTAATGTTCAAATAAATGAATAACTTTATGCTTATATTTTCCCAAATTTGTAGTGCTTTAGAACAATGTAAATGACTTAATTTTAAGCTAAAATATTTATTTACCACATCACAGAAAGTCTTTAATTTGAAAAAATATAGTACTTCATTTCTTAATATTTTATTATTTTTTATACAAATGAGTGTATTGCCTGTATGCATGTGAGTGCACCTGTCTTGTGCAATGCCCACAGAAGTCAGAAGAGGGTGTCAGATCCCCTGGAATTGGAGTTGCAGATGGTTGTTAGCTGCCATGTGAATGCTGGGAATCGAACCTGGGTCCTCTGCAAGAACAGCCAGTGCTCTTAACCGCTGAGCCATTTCTCTAGTCCAGTACCTAATTTTTTTTTAATTGGTAATATTATATTTTCTTAAAAAAAAAAGAAAAGCAAATGCAGGTTAACATCTACAATTTTTCCTTAAATTATCATAATTGCCTTGGAATTCTCAATATTGTATAAGTAATTTATTCATTATTTCACTAATCAAGTATTCATGGAGTGTTATTACATATCAGGTCTACTCAGTTCCAGTCCCAGTAACTCACTTCTGCAAAGTAACACTACACTCATCAGAAAATACATGTTTCAGTGTTTTAAATCTGGTGGTAAAAATAATATAAAATTAGAAATTCATATGCAATCTTAAGAATCTGAGGTACTTGAGAATGAGAGGACTTTTTTAATGAATGCAGTAACAGAAACAATGGGGCATCAACCTAGCAATATGAGTTCCTTGGGAGCGGCTGGTCTGTGGCTGCAGCAAGCCAGAACACCAACAGAATGGCAGACAAAGTAGGCGACTGTTTCTCTCCCCCACCACATCCAACTAAGGGAAACAAGAAAAGAATTTCAAATATGGTATGTATAATTTATACATAAAACATTCATATTTTCTGTTAATAATTAACATGTTCCTCAATAATTCAACCCACTGGGCATGATGACATATACCTCTCGGAAAGTTGAGACAAGATCAGGAATTCAAGGCTAGCCTCAGTTACACAGTGAGTTCAAGGCCAGCCTGGGCTACATGAGACCCTGATTCAAAAAAAAATTCAGGCTGGGTGTGGTGGCACACGCCTTTAATCCCAGCACTTGGGAGGCAGAGGCAGGCGGATCTCTGTGAGTTCAAGGCCAGCCTGGTCTACATAGTGAGTTCCAGGACAACTGGGGCTACAGGGAGACCCTGTCTCAAAAAGACCAAAAAAAAAAAAAAAATTCAATTTGACCTAAATTTAGAAGTAAAATGGTATTTTGTTTAATACATTTGACCTCCATGCCAACATAGAAGAGAAATTTATTTCACTTTATCCTTTTTTTATAACACCTAGTTAATTAGAAAGGAATTTAGAGAAATTGGTGTCACAATCAAATAGACGTGATATATATGCATAGTATTCATTTGCCTCTTGTAAGTTTGTGTGTTCCACAACCCCTCCAAGATTAAACAAAAAGATAATAAAAGAAAACAAAACAAAAAAAAATGTGACAGGAATCAACATTAGTATTTCAGGAATCAGTAAAAAATTAATATTAATATTTTCCTCTTTGACATGGGAGTCTTCTTACTGTGTCAACTAGGCTGGTCTCAAACTCAGACTCAAATGGTCCTCCCACTTCAGCCTCCCCAGAACCTTGCACCACAGAAGTCTACCACCATGAAAGTCTAATTACTAGGCTCTAGTCACCTTCCCCCATACACCCTTGCTCCAAGAAGGTACAAAACCCCTAACTCTTATGTCAGATATTTATTGCTATTATTTGCATTTTTATTATTTTGAAAATTGCTATGAGAGTAGATTTTAGATGTTATCACCATAAATAAATGTGAGGGGGTTCAAGTTAATTAGACCTTCTTAAGGCATTCTCCACTATTTAGGCTTTTTGGCATTTACACATTGCAGATGAATATTTGTAAAATTTCTAAATATTAAAATTCTGTCCTCTTCTCATTTCATTGTTCTGTACAAGATAAGAAACCATCAGACTGGCCAGTGTGGCCTTGATTCCTTCCTTATATCACCTGCTTAGGAAGGAGGATGTAACCTAACGAGTGTTTTTGTAGTGTCCACATTTGCCAGTCCCTGAGAGTACTGCCTATCTGCAGATGCAGCAAGTTTTTCTCCTCACTGTTGAGCTGCATGTAAATCAGGCTAGGGAAGAACAAGTGCATCCGCGGGAACCAGCCACTAGCATTAGAGACAATCTGGAAATTTTTCATATATGATAAGGAACTTGAAATAAAGATGGTATCTTAAACACTTTCTTTTTCACACAAAGAAGACCTCTTAAGTTTTCATTGTTACACAGTTCCATCAGAAACTGCTGTGTGACCAGAATAAACCTTCTAACCTCAGAACTTTGTTTCCCCAACTATGACACAAATCAGTAATTTGAAAGTCATACAATAGCTAATCAAATGTAATCATCTTTGCAGGAGTTAAGCTCAGTCAAAGTTGACTACCAAGGGCAGCCTATTTTTAGCTAAAGCTCACAAATAAACACTTGAAATTTATTTTTGAACCCAAACGTGGGAAGCCTTTCCATAAAACTCTTCCAGTCAGGCAATTGCTCTCGCCTGAGTTGGTATTGAATATTGAAGGCCAGTAGAAGTGCTCAGGTTTGGGAGGGGCTGCCCAGGAAGGGTCCACTGAGGTACCCCACGTGCAGTTTCCCAGGCCACCTGGCTACTGCCCATTCCTCCTGATCTTTCTACCTCACCCTTCATACTTCAGGCATCCTTTTGTCTCCAAATGCCAGACTAGTCCCTGAAAACAATGTGAGACTTGGCTTTGGTTATATAAACAACTGTGTTAAAAGAATAATTCTGTAGGATAGGAAAGAGGGTCAAGGAGGAATGGGGATAACCAATCTGTGATGCCATCACATGAGGAGGGAAGTACAGAGAAAGGCTTTGGACTTATCTTCACAGATTCGAAGAGATAAAATTATCATATGCATTCAATAACTAGTAAATAGAATTTTGTGTCAGAATTTGTTTAAACACAAGCCCCCTCCCCAAACCCACTATTTCCAGTTGTCAACAATCAGCCACATTTGATTGCTAACAAAATGCTTTAAAATCTATACAAAGGAGTAGCTTTTAGAAGCTGCATTTTTTTTCATTAAAGTTGTTCTTTTTCAATTATTTAATAACCACATTATTAGTGATGTTGAACACCTTTTAAGATGCTTCTTAGTCATCTTTATTTCTTCTTTTGAGAACTCTCTGTTCAACTCTTTAGCCCATCTTTTAATTGGGTTACTTCTTGTCTTGGCTCTCTATTTTTTGAATTCGTTATATATTCTGGATTATAAACCTCTGTCAGATGTGTCACTGGTGAAGATTTTCTCCCGTTCTGTGGGTTTTCTGTTTGTTTCCTTTGGTTGCTTTTTTTGATGTACAGCAGCCTTTTAGTTTAATGAGATCCCATTTGTTGATTCTTGGCCTTGTTTCCTGAGCAATTGATGTCCAGTTTAGAAAATCCTTTCCTACACCTATATCTTGAAGGTAATTGCCAATGTTTTCCTCTAACAGTTTCAGAGTTTCAGGATTCACAGTGAGGTCTTTGATTCATTTGGAGCTGACTTTTGTGCAAAGTGAAAGATAGGGGTTTAGTTTCATTCTTCCATAGGTGGAGATACAGTTTTGGCAGCACCATTTGCTGAACATAGTCTTTCCTCCAGTGAATGTTTTTGGCCCCTTTGTCAAATATTAGGTGGTTGAAATTTCATGTACTCATATTTGGGTCTTCAATTTTGTTCTATTGATCTATGGGTCTTTTTCTGCCAGTACTGTGTTGTTTTTAATGACTGTAGTAGCTCTGTAATACAGTTTCAAATCTGGTACAGTAATCCCCCAAGCATTGCGCTTAGTGCTGAGGGTTGCTTTGGCTATCTGAGGTCTTTTGTGCTTCCATATGAATCTTAGGATGTTTTTTTTCCAATTCCATGAAAAGTGTCATGGGGATTTTTATTGGCATTGCATTGAATCTATAAATGGCTTTTGGTAGGTTGGTCATTTTCACAACATGAATTCTTCCAATCCATGAGCATGGAAGGTCCTTCCATCTTCTGATGTCTTCCTCAATCTCTTTCTTTAAAGATTTAAAATTTTCATTGTAGAGGTCTTTAATGTCTTTGGTCAGGTTTATTCCAAGATATTTTTTTTTTTTTGCAGCTATTGTGAACGGGAGTGTTTCCATGTGCTCTTTCACTGATTTGAATGTAAATGGTGATTTCTATGGTATACTAAATTGCAATTCCTTTTCCTTTGGAGAAACATAAGCAGTAATCTCTTCAAGCAAGTGTCTGAAATTACAGTGGGAATTGAATCTGGGGTCAAAATTATATGGGGCAACTGGAATGGGCTCTCTAAGTCAAGTCCTATTTTCGAATAATTTTTTCCAGATTCAACCAAAAGGGAAAGACAAGGAAGGCCTCTCTGAACACCTGCCTGACAATGTCAGACCTTTCTCTGAACATGTGCCTTCAATAACACAGTCCCCCTGACATCAGTATTTCTTTATAACTTATATCCACATGAAAAATTTTTGTACATTTTATGACTATATTAATTACAATTTTACTATTTTTAACATCATGAATGAGATTAAAGACTCAATGAGTTCTCAAGGGTGATAACCAAGATGCCCTCTTTAACAAACAAGTTTATCAGGGGAATTTTATTTATTGGTTGGTTGAATTTTATTACTTTTCTTGGTTTAGTTTATTTGGTTTTGAGATAGGATCTTTCTGTGTAGTCCAGGCTTGCCTTGAACTTGCAAGCCTCAGCTCCCTGAATGCTAGGGTTAAAAGTATGCACCATTGTGTCTGACTACCAAAGTCTTTGAAAACCAATCCCAGTGCTCCACACCATACCTCTTCTCCAAATTTCCCTTCTGATAGGACTGCCACGTATAGATATTTTGTGAATAGGTGATCTAAATAACTTGGCTGTAGTTCAAAACTGATTTCTCATAATATATAGAATCATTCTTTAAAATCTATGGTTTATTAAAACTGGTTTTACCTAATAAATCTAAGCTTGAGCCACCCTATTTTCAAAATATGCTCCATTACCTGTATTGTGTCTTGCAATATATCCAAGTGCCCAGGCTGCAGCCTCCTTGACTCCAGGGTCAAAATCTTCTAAGCATATCACCAGTGTGTCCAGAGCTCCACAGTCAACTATGGCCTGTGCAAGCTGAGGAGAATGTTTACCAACTGCTCGCAGCACAAAGGCAGCTGCTTTCTTGTAGAAACGCTACCAGGGAAAAGAGAAGAAATTCAAAATCTAAAGTACACCAAAAGCAATGGGGAAATGACCTTAATACAAATCTCAATGTTTTTTTAATACAAAAGATGAAAGTAGCCTGCAAAATTATTTTATTTGATATTCCCCCATTCCCTTCTGTTTGATAAACTGAAAATAAAATAAGTTTTAAGTTACATTTCAAGGGAGCTGGAGAGATGGCTCAGCAGTTAATAGCACTGGCTGTTCTTTCAGAAGATGCAGATTTGAATCCAGCACCACATGGCAGCTAACAACTATCCGTAACTCCAGTTCCAGGGGATCCAATGCCCTCTTCTGTCCTCTGTGAGCATTGTACAACATGGGTACACTTACATACATGCAGACATAACACTCATACACATAAAGTAAAAAATTTTTTCAATGTTACATTTCAAATGTTTTACATTTAAGCATGAATTTGGAAATGGCATAAAATCAAATGTAAACATGGTACTTTCCACAATTTCATAAGATG